TTAATATGGGCAATCAGACTTCATCTCCTAGATCTTTGATGCTTGTTCCACGAACACAAACATGCGCTTTAGTGATGTGAAGACGCCAGCTCAGCCACCACACGACTGATGGATAAGATTCAACAACAGCTTCGATGCTAACGTCCTACTTATCAAGATCTCTGCGTGATATTGTGACAACTGATTTGCGCCCTTGATGCGCCCTTTGACATCTGTGGATGCCGAGTACCCTTCGCTCCTTCCCGCATCCGGTAAAATGCAGGCGCTGACGTATGACGCGAAACTCGACTAGGCCCCAGGCCTCCAGGCAGCACTAAACACTCCGGTCCGTCATGGCTTCGGAAGAGCAATCATAACCAGAGCCTCTTCTCTTCTTCGTTCGTTCTACACAACTTCTAGCCTTTCTAATGTCTTAGAGTCCAGGTGTACCAACTCCGTCCCACTCATAACACCCACCCTACCCTGAACCTCGGAGCATGTCTTTTCGTGATGCGCCTGTCAAAGCGGCACAATGGCTCGGGCGCGAACTGGGACTCGCGACAATGAAGCATGCTGGAAAAGACGTCTACATCCTCATTCTGGCACGGTACATCCGTCTGTTTGCATACGGGAGCGTGGCACTTATCCTCGCGCTCTTCTTCCAAGAGCAAGGATTTTCAGACGAACAAATCGGACTCTTTATGTCGTTGACGTTGCTGGGCGATGTAGTCATCAGCCTTCTCCTCACACTTGTCGCGGATACGCTAGGCCGCCGCCGAACATTACTCCTTGGAGCCGTGTCCATGGCAATATCCGGCGCTGTTTTCGCAACAACAAGCAACTATGTGGCCTTGCTTCTAGCAGCCATCGTCGGTGTCATCAGTCCTAGTGGGAACGAGATCGGGCCGTTCAGAGCTGTGGAGGAGTCGACGTTAGCGCACCTGGTAGCCGAGGACAAGAGGTCGGACGTGTACACTTGGTATGTCGTCTTGGCTGTACTGGGCACGTCAACGGGGTTGGCAGTTGGTGGTGTTGCGGTCGACAGCCTGCAGGCTATCGAGGGTTGGACGGATCTGGATGCGTATCGCGCTATCTTCTGGATTTACACTGGGGTCGGGTGTGTCAAGGCGCTGATGACTCTGTTCCTGAGCCAGAAGTGCGAGCACAGCGACTGGAACGATAAACGGAACAAGTCTGCTGCATCAGTTGAGACCGAGCCGTTACTGAACAATGACGAAACAGGGAATCGAGATACTGCAACTCGAGACGCGGCCCCCAGGAAGCCTAAGAAGTTTTGGCATTCCCTGAGCAAGATCTCCACGTCGAGTCGGATTGTTCTCATCAAACTCTGCAGCTTGTTCTTCCTGGATTCTTTGGGCTCGGGAATGGTCCCCTTTAGCTTGATCAACTACTACATGGAACGTAAATTTGGTCTACCAAAAGGGAAGCTAGGCGGCATCATGTCTGCAACATGGTAAGTCACAATGTGAACAAAGTATGTCTTAAACCACACGCTTACGAACATACAGGTTTGTGTCGACACTTGGAAACGTCTTCGCCTCGAGCCTGGCCAAACGTCTCGGCTTGATTCAAGCAATGGTCTTTACACATCTGCCTTCTTCTATATTCCTCGCGCTACTGCCTGTGCCGTCGGGACTAGCTTTAACCATCTGCCTGCTCGTTGGCCGCTCTGTGCTCAACTCCATGGATCAGGCCCCTCGATCAGCTTTCCTCTCGATTGTGGTCTTACCAGAAGAGCGAACAGCCGTTATGGGCGTAGTCAACATACTCAAGACACTATCCCAGAGCAGTGGACCAAGTCTTACTGGTGTACTTGCTGGGAACGATCATTTCTGGGTCGCTTTTGTTGCAGCTGGTAGCTTGAAAGCGACGTATGATTTATTGCTTCTGGCATTCTTTGGTGGGAGGGTACAGCCGCGGAGTGAGGAACCGGAAGCAATTACTGGTGTAGAGGAGGATGACACTATTGAGGAGCCCGCGAATGGACACAGGACTACTTGATGTAGCTTGCGCGGACTTGAAGACATAAACAAGAAACACAACTAGACCAATACCCTCTTGATGCAGATATAATAGATTTCACAGCTTCTAGAATGTTCAACATGCCGTTTCACGCTACACCGCCAGGTACGGGTGAAAGCCGAAGGCGCTACCTCGGCAAACTCCTTCTTGGGCTTACTTGTACGAGTTCTTGCGTACACTGGCAACAACCTCCGACATCACAGCTATCAGCAATTCACTACGGCGCGGTCGCTATTGCCGATTTTCGGTGTGGCTGATCTAGCCATGCACATAGTATGCGCGAGTACTCCAGCTCAACGGTCAGCTTGTCGGCCACGGCTCCGATCGTGAACACCCACGCTCTGGCCAAGGACAGGCCAGCTGGGCATGCACCAGGCGTGCCACGAGACCATGTGAACGAAGAATTACCCGAGCCACCAGCATCCGTCTCTGTCTTCCTAACCCATAGCAAGAAGGTCGCATCTGGGACGACCCAATCACGTCCGCGCACGGCCGCAGGAGATGAAAGCTCCACCTGTCTGCACGCGACCCAGACCCTGGCTTGCATGGTTCGCCGCTACAGCCACGCTTACCCGAAAGCCATGCTAGACCCCGCAAAATTTTATGCTTAAAGACCGCCTCATGTCCTACCACCCAATGTCACGGTAGCAGTTTCCCCGGATTTCTCTTTACTTTTGTCCTGGTTCGAGAGTGTGTGGAGCAGCGTTGCAGCACCCCACTATCGTTCCTAAAGCAGCCCAGCCCTGGCCGGATCGCCCATCGGCCCGACTTTCCTTTGATTTGGAAAGAGAGAGTTGACGAAAGAGAACAGTCATGGCGGAAGAGAAGGATATTCAGCCTACTACCGCGCCCCCGTTCGAGCATTATGGAGAGAATGAGGAGTCCGATCACAAGCGCGCTGCTAACAAGCTTGTTGACGATGCGCGGCTTGCCACGGACAACGAACGCAAGATGACGCTGATGCAGGGTATCAAACTCTATCCCAAGGCGATTGGATGGTCTGTCCTTATCAGCACGTGTATCGTCATGGAAGGCTACGATGTCTGCCTGCTGAACAACTTCTTCGGATTCCCGCAGTTCAAGCAAAAGTACGGCGAGCAGCTTCCGGACGGGTCTTGGGAAATTCCTGCACCGTGGCAGGCGGGTCTGTCGAACGGAGTTATCGTTGGCGAGATCATCGGTCTTTTCCTCAATGGATGGATCAGTGAGGCTATCGGATACCGCTACACTGTCATGGGGTGCTTGCTTCTGATCATTGGGTTCACCACCATCTTCTTCACGGCTCAGACGGTGGTGCACTTGCTGATTGCGGAGATTCTCTGTGGTATCCCCTGGGGTGTCTTCCAGACACTTACCATCACATACGCTTGCGAGGTCTGCCCTGTTGCTCTGCGCGGATACCGTAAGTTTACCAAGCTCTACTTTCACATACATAAGCTCACGTCAATCAGTGACCACCTACGTCAATTTCTGCTGGGGTCTTGGTCAAGTCATCGGTATCGGTGTCATCCGCTCCATGGTCGACCGTGATGACGAATGGTCATACCGCATCCCCTACGCCCTCCAATGGATGTGGCCCGTCCCCCTCATCATCGGTGTCTTCCTAGCCCCCGAGTCGCCATGGTGGCTAGTCCGCAAAGGCAGAATCGAAGATGCAAAGAAATCCCTGCTTCGACTCACCAGCTTGGACCGAGAAACTGATTTCGATGCCGACGAAACGGTAGCCATGATGGTGCACACGACCGCGCTCGAAGAAAAGATCACTCAGGGAGCCAGCTACTGGGACTGCTTCAAGGGTACTGATCTGCGTCGTACGGAGATTGTTTGCATGGCCTGGGCGATGCAGAACTTGAGTGGAAACGCTTTCTCGGGTTACTCTTCCTACTTCCTCCAACAGGCCGGTCTACCCGCATCGACTTCGTATGACTTCGCAATGGGTCAGTACGGTATCAACATGGCCGGTGTCTTTGGCGCTTGGTACCTCATGAAGGTCGGTTTCGGACGCCGAACACTCTACCTAGGTGGTCTTTGCGGACTGTGCATTATGCTCTTCGTTATGGGTTTCCTTGGCCTGGTACCAGCCTCCCAGCGGGAGACGGGCGCCATGGCTACCGGAGCTATGATGATCGTATGGGCTATGTTCTACCAGCTGACCGTTGGCACCGTATGCTACTCTCTCGTTGCTGAGCTTTCAACCCGCCGCCTCGCAATCAAGACCGTGGTTCTCGGCCGCAACCTCTACAATGTAATCGGCATCATCACCTCCGTCCTCACACCCTACATGCTCAACCCCGGAGCCTGGAACTGGTACGTCCTTCCCTCACTCCCTTCCTCTCCCTCTTCCCTCTGCTAACCACACCCCAGGGGCAACTACGCCGGATTCTTCTGGGCCGGCTCCTGCTTCCTAAGTATCATCTACACCTACTTCCGCCTACCCGAACCCAAGGGCCGCTCTTTCGCTGAACTTGATCTCCTCTTCGAGAAGCGCGTCAGCGCGCGCAAGTTTGCGAGCACGACTGTCGATGTGTTTGAGGACAGCCATATCCAGGGGACTGCTGCTTTTGATCGCTATGAAGAGAAAGTTGATGCTGCTGTGAGAACTGAATCTGTTGCTGTTGGTGTTTCGAAGGTTTAATGACAAGAAGATTTAGGGTGTATATGTCTTGAGTGGGAAGATGTTGCATGTATGAACGTATGATGTGCACGTTTCTTGTTCGATGGGTTGATGAGGATTTGGTATCATTTTAATCGAACTTCTTATCATTAAAGACTTCACGGTTGCATTCATGTGGTAGAGCAATAGAATGCAATGCAATGCAGGCGCGAGCGTCTATGCACGTTCTTCAAGGCACAGTAGCTGATTGGACCTTCCATGTAAGGGTGCTGCGAGGGCGGGGCATTGTGCCGCGGACATACACACCCTCTTTTTCTGTATTTCTCTGGTTTATTTCGACACGTCCGTCTCACATTCCTCAACTATGTTGCAACTCGACCCTGACTTCATCCGTATGGATGCCGAAGCTGAAAGAGCCAAGGGCTTTGTGAGATGCAAGTTCAACGAACAGATTGACTCGATACCAATGTACAGTCCCTCACTTCCACTGGAATCGATATCTCTGCTAATCGACAGCCACATATAGATACAATGCCTCCCCTCTAGAACGCCAAAGAGCAGTAGAAGCCGCAACTGCTGCGCGAAAATCATGTCGCGAACTAGCTAGCGAGTTCCATGCCGTCTTACCAAGAGAGCTTCGAAACATGGTATACGCCTACATCGTCGGCCCGACAGCCCAGGCTCAAGATACACCAGAATATAGCGGAATGTGGTGGCGTGTCGTATGCGGCAAAAGCATACGCATTGGCTGGTTAGACTCGCAATGGGGCGAAGGTATTGAAGCACTCGACATCTGCGGTGAAAGTCTCCACATGCAACCTAAATGCTGGGCTATGGATCCAGCATACTTTGGAGTGCACGCAGCGCAAGAGCTTACAGAGACTTACTACAGTATCAACAGCTTCTACATCACGTCCGCCCAGGAGATGAGCAACCTGTTCCGCGCCGATCCCTTCAAGCTCGGAATAAAGCCGTATCAGTTTATCGGCAAGTTCACGGTGGTACTCAACTTCTCCGGAACTGAAATGCAAAGCGAGGACGAAGTGGCGACTCTTCACAAAAACCTCCAAGACCTCCAGCTACTACCTACGAAACGTAAACACGAAATTTGCATTCGCCTCGAGACAGCTTTCCAGATTGGTGAAATTAAACTTGGTGGGTATCGATATCGTCATCCCTACGACATGGAAGATGAGCGGGTTATGCTCAATATCCTCGAGTCGATCAGACGGCCCGTGTATGATCTCTTACACAGGAGGAAGTCGGTCAGGGTTTTCCACGCAAATTTAGAGGACTGGTGTACACCACGTCAAAAGACAATTGAGGATGTAGGAGTAAGGTATTTGACATCTGCTGAAAGAGTGAAAGGCCAGTGGGGGCCGCCTTGTCGATTATTCAGCATGACGGAAGAGGAGTGGCGAAAGGTATGCGGTTTGCTAATCATCACGCGAGTGTCTGCATGAGTGAGGCTAACGAGAGCTAGGAGAAAGAAGAGGATGCAGATGGGGACCCAGCCCGGCATTATGTTCTCCGTGCGCCTAATGTTGTAAGCGACAAGAATGAGCAAGACACGAACGAAGACAGCGAGGAAGACGAGGAGGCAACAGATGAAGAAAGCGACGAAGAAGAAGAAGAAGAAGGACCAGAAAACGAGAGCGAAGACGCGGAATACTTGTTCAATCGGGACCAGACTCTAGACACGGAAACCAAGCTCAAGGTGCGCGAAGCGCTGAAAACCCGATGGCAGGAATTAGGCGCTCTTGATCACTTTTGGCACAGTGGCGACCGTGAAGGCCCTTTCGGACTCCAGAAACAGAAATCACGATACTCATCGCGGGATCTGCAGTATGAAGACTTTGTGTAGCTATACTACACGGCAGGATATTGTTTGAGCGGGCTACAAAGCTCCAATCAACATTGAAACACGTAGTCACTACATCACAAGCACACAACATCCCATCGATCAACCAAAGAACGAATTAGATTAAGTAACTAACCATGTGCACAAAACGCAGCAGTCGCTCAGACCCAATCCTCCCTACTACACAGCCAGCACCAAGACTGGCCCAAAAGCCTCCGTCTCAAGTGAAAGCTTTAGTACAAGAAGAGTAAGCGTGAACAAAGGAAAGGGCGTGCGTCGCAGCGACAGTGGGAAAAACGGGAGAGGAACAGGTCCAACGCTCAAGGGTATGAAAAGTTTGTTGTGACAAAGCCATGCTAAACATATGTACTCATACAAAAGAGCGATCCGGGGTGCGCGAGTGTGTGTGGTGGTTTGGAGTGGGAATGATTGGGGGGTTTAGTTTCCTCCGGAAGCCAGGTGGTCGGCGGCCTATGAAGAATTGTTAGCTCGAGTTCCTTTTCGTACAATGTATAACTGCATTGCTTACCTTGTTGATGTCGTAGTCGTACTTCTCGAGCGCAGACAAAGCATCGTTGCGTCCATAGCCCATACCAGTCAGCTTCTTGAGGATAGGGTCGTCATGCTCGGTTCCAGTGCTGATGGCACGACCAAGCGAGGGCATCTGAGGCGACAATCCCTGAGACTTGGATGAAGAAGCAGCAGCCTCCTCATTGTCGAGAGTATCAAAGACAGACTTGCCAAAGTCAGTGGATGCTTGCTGTGAGTGCGAGCCCTTGTCGGTTTGCGAAGACTCGAGGTTGGAGAAGATGGCATCCCAGTCCTGGGACGAGGCAGCGGGTTGAGGCTGCTGGGGCTGTCCTCCAAACGTCTGCGACAGGTGTTCAAAGTCACTGAAGCTGTCATCACCACGAGGCTTGCCGGTGGGGGTCTGCTGAGAAGCCATGGTGTTTGACTTGGAGGCAGCTGGCGAGTCAAACACTGGGTTGAACTCGTCAAGACCTTCACGGTTCTGCGAAGAGAACATGAAGTCGTCATCAGCCCGGTCATCCTCCTTGGCATCTGCTAGATCATCAAATCCGGCGTCGAAGTCATCATTGAAGGCAGACTTGCCGAGTTGGGGGACGTTGCTGGACGGCGATGGGCCCTTGTTCTCATTGGCACCGTACGATACTGCAGAGTGGTATTGATCGGATGGGACGGTCGATGATGGAGTATCTAGAGGAGGGGGCGATGTGGTGGCAGACTTGGAAGGGCCGCCAAAGAGAGCAGCTCCGTGACCGCCAGGAGGATTGTACGACTTCTCCGGGCCTTGTGCGGTGTCAGGAGACCCTGGCGACGTCGGGTCTTCGCGAGCGGGAAGAAGACCACCGAACTCAGGGGGGAATTGGTTCGATCCACTTCTGGTCTGGTTCACAGTGGACTCGTAGGTGGGTGGGGACTTCTGCGCGCTAGGAGAGGGCAAGCCACCGATGTTGGAGTCCAGGCGGGTAGTTGGCGGCGGGGCCCTGTACAGCTCGTCACTTGACGCAGTGCCTGGTCGCTGCTGTTGCTGAGAGCGCTGCTCTTGTCCTGTGCTGGTACGCTTCTGGTTTGGCGACGCGGATGTGAAGTTGTCATCGAATCCGCGCTCATCGTTACTGTCGCTGTCATCATCGTGAGCCAGGTCCTCAATCGGAGGGAACTCCTTGTTGAACCTGTTGGAGTTATCCGCGGGTGCGCTTGTGGTGGATGCAGTAGCAGTGTTCTGACGACTAGGGCCGAAGCCAGCGAATGCCGCATCGAAATCATCCTTCCCTCCACGAGGCTGCTCACCAGAGGTGCTGCCGAAGGGGTCCGCGCGGTTGATGTTCCTGTTGGGGGCGCTCAGACTGCTCTCTCCAGTTTGGTTCTGTTGAAGAGGCGTAGCAGCCTCACGTGGGAAAGCACCAGGAATGTCAACACCAGCTGAAGGTGCTCCGAAGTTAGAGAAGGCATCCTTACGGTCCTCAGCTCTGGTTGAGCGCTGAGTATCACTGGTGATACTGGCTACAGGAGATGCTGATGAGAAGTTACGGTTGAACAGAGAAGGGTTGAAGTTGTCGGTTTCTGTGCGGTTGGTTTCAGTTCGCTCTACCGTGGGCTTCTCTGCTATTGGTGTGCTCGCAGGAGATGCCTGGGAGATTGTAGGTGTTTCGTTGCCAGGGCCACCGTATCTGCTGGCAGGAGCAGTAGCTCGCACGGAAGAGCTGAACGAGTCGGATCGCTGGCCGCCTTCCCTCAGAGGCAGGAATGAAGAGCCGAATTGACGCGACTCAGGGGGAGCTGGCGGGTCTGCAGCGCGGGGAGATTCCTGGTAAGAAGACAGAGGGGGTGAGGTAGACGGTGTGGGAACGTCAGGTCCTTCGGAAGAGCGTACTGACTGGCCGGATGGAACGGAGAAGCTGGGACCTTGGCTCTGGTTTTCGGGACGGAAAGAGACGGGAGGTGCTGTGCTTTGAGGAGTGCCGAAGCTACCAAAAACGCTGTCAAAGTCCTTGTGCGGGCCTTCACGTGCGAATCCAGAAGGCGACATGGTGTTCTCTGCAACGGGTTGGGGCGACTTGCGGAAGAATGGGTTCGTGCTCTGGCTTGTAGTGGACGCCGCTGGGCTGACGGCGACGGCGGGGGTCTGGGCTTGTGGACTGCGTGTGCCCTCTTCTTGCGACTTGGTCAAGTCGTTCATTTCATTCCTGATCTTGTCGCGTTCTCCCTCGTTGGTAGCAAGCTGCTTCTTGTTGATGGCGACCATGCCCTTCTGCTGTCTGGCATCGTTCCTCATCTTGTCAAGCTGAGGACGCAGCTGTCCAATCTCGGTGTTGAGCTGGCGGATGCGTTCTTTCAAGCTGTTGTTCTCGCGTTGGTCAGCCTCAAGTTGGCCTCCCACCTGGCGGTGCTGATTCTGAAGATCCTGGTAAGAGCCCTCGATCATAGCAAGGTCCTGTTGCAGCTTGCGGGTCTCGTTGCGAGAGGCAGCCAGTCGGTCCTCCAACGCCTTGACAGCCTTGACTTCCTGGTCGTACTGGGTCTTGAACTGCGAGAGGCGCAGCTCGAGATCGCGCTTCTGAGTGTTGACACTGTTGAGATCGCCCTCCGTCGCAGTCTTCTTGTTCTGGACTTCTTGCATCTGGTTTCGGAGAGTGGTCATTTGGTTAGACATGTTGGCCAGGTCAGTCGAGTCTTGTGTCAGCTTCTTGTTGATCTCAGCAACATCCTCTCCACCCAGCAAATCGTCCATTGCGGATGGTGTGGAGTGTTGTGGCACGCCAGAGGTACCCGATTGGCCTGTAGAATGCGCAGTAAGAGTCTGACCGAATGAAGAACTAGGCATGAACGGCTTGAAGGTAGAAGCGGGGTTTCGCGGTTGAGGCTGGAAGGGGTGAGGAGACGTGGGCGAGGTTGGCTTGCTTCCGAAAGGATCAGCCTCGAATGGCTTGCTGAAGGTAGCAGAGCCGCCTGTCGATTGCGGTTGCTGAGGAGCAGGAGCCGGTGCTGTGAAGGCGTCGAGTCCGAAGAGATCATCTGCAGCTGATTTGGCGGCGCGAGGAACGGGTGGCGCTGGCTGAGGGGCGGCTACTGGCACCGCTTGGTTGGCGGCTGTTCGTAGGCTCGGGGGGATCAGGCTGGGTGGAAGCGTTGCTGGAAGCTGATCTCCCTTCCGTTGTTGACGGATGAGGTACATTGCGACTGCGAACTCGTCCTTGGACAGCTGACCTTCCGAATTGATGTCTGCGAGGTCCCATATTCCTGCAAGGACATCTTCGGGCAGCCCGGAGTCGCTGAAGAAGCGCACTGCCTGATCTCCAGTAATGAAACCGCGACCCATGGTGTCAACTGTCTTGAAGAGATTGTCGTATGAAGCCTTCTCTTGTGGGCTGATGAGCCAATCGCTGCCGGTCGGTTGGGGTGCTGGAGCCGGTGCTCCGAATGGCGTTCGTCCAAGGGGACTCGATTGCCGCGGCTGGTTTTGCTGACCGCTGAACTGGCGCGGGATGGACATGGATTGGTCTGGTCGGCCTGGTGGAGGTGGGAGTTGTCCTCGTCGCGAGGCGGCTTCGTACAGGCCTGGGGGTAGGGCGGTCGGGAGGGCCTTCATGTTGCCAGTTCGGTAGGAGGCGAGCATGTGCATGGCAATGATGAATTCGGTGACGTTCAAAGCGCCGCGCTGCTCTGTGTCGGAAAGATTCCAGATGCGACCGAGGACTTCGTTAGGTAACCGCGCTTTCTCGAAGATCTCCTTTGCATTCTCGCCTGGGAATGTTAGAGTCGCACTAGTCGAGTATCAAGACACATACCAGAGAGCACGCCATTGACGGCCCCAGACTTCTCGAAGAGGCCTGCGTACTCAGCAGCCTTGGCGGGTACTAGCGGAGGGACGCGGATGGGGCCGTTGCCGCTCATCTGAGGTTGTATCGAACCGGTGGGTTGTGGAGAGAAGCTCGGGGCGGCGGGAGGAGCGGATGGGATGTTCAAGCCCTCGAACTTGGGCAGGGGCGCAGCTGCGGGAGTGTCAGCGCATGGCTATACTACGGGCCATTGAGATCATACGTCTAAAGGCCAGCTCTGGAGCGGGGTCTCTGCCGGCCTGGTAGTGTCCGATGAGGCGCAGGACCTGGCAGAACCCGGCCATGGTCAGGAGACCACGGTTCTCCGTGTCTGCAATCTGCCATATCTCGCCCAGGACAGCGGGTGCCAACTTGGTGCGCTCGAAGAACTTGACGGCAATCTCGCCTGTTATGACGCCCAGCTTCTCCGTGTCGGCTTGCTGGAAGAGGAACTGGAAGACGCGCTTCTCCTCGGGCGTCAGGTTGAGGACGGGCTGGTCTGCGCCGCGTTAGCTGGGACTTGGGCAGGTGTAAGTGTCAGCACGCACTCAATTCGCCGCTCTGTGCGAGGTCCGCCATGGCTGTGGGGGCTCCGGGGACGGCGCTCGTGGTTGTTAGGCTTCTGCCTGGGTGGATGAGGCTGAAGCTCCCGGCGCTGTC